CTTAACCTACAGGCTTCTCTGTTGCCAGGGTCCTTAACCCTTCTGCCTATTTTAATTAGAGCTGTAAGAAATTAAAAAGTTTTGAGACCTCTGCCTCTGTCAAATCCAGCTGTAAGTGGCCAGTGCTTAACAAGGTGCAGGGCAGAGGTGATGCTGTGGCAGCTGCTTAAGCCTTGTTGCCTTTAAGCCAGCCTACAACGCAGAGGAGTTTGAATAAAAAGAGTGTTGTAAAAGCTGTGGTCCTTTCTGACCTTGTGAAGCTAGGGAATAGGTGTCTAGACAAAGTTGCCCTAGGATCTGACATCTGAAGTACTTCCACAATAGGAGAAGGCATGAGATTGACTTTGTTTTGGGGAAAATCCTCTGAATTTCCCAATAGGTTGATACTGAACAAAACTCTGGCATGTGTTGGTCATTGTAACACCAGTTTGAGCCCCTTATTGCAGTGCAGTGTAAAGAGGAGTTGTTAATAAGCTGCATAGAGGTTTTCTTGCTCCATTTCTCATCTTTTTTGCTTCCCTGATCTTCTGACAATGAGGTTAAAGAGGACTTTTAATGGGTTAAGTTGACTTTTGTACAGTTAAGTCACACGCCTTTTTGATTAACCGCAGGGGTTTACTGAATTGGTTAATGCTTTATGACAGTCTTACCAGTCTTACGCCACAGGCCATCCCGTGGAGGAATGGCGCAGTGTGACAAGTACCGAGGTACGGAGGCTTGGCCAGATCTGAGAGTGATTACCACACAGTCTCATATGACTTTTATCCATATGCTTTCCATGTCATTGCCCAGGATTTTAGTGCTTGTGAGCAGCTGGCAGGCAGGCGTGCTTTTGCTGCCAGATTGCCTTGTGGTTGGTTTTTTTCCTTCTATTCAATAATTTAATTTTCTTATATTTTCCAAATAGGCTTTGCTTGTTTCCCAGGTCTTCTCAGTGCACAAGCGAGGAACCACACCATGAGCTGTTTCCTATCTGTTTCCATTCCTGATTATCATCTCTTACGCTCTATGCGTGCATTTGGCATCAGATAAGTGGCAGAACAGTAGGTAGAGAAATGTTCTGAGTGGCTTGGGAAGCTCTATTGCTTATGAGATAGAAATCATTCAGTCTGACTCTCTCCTTTCTCCCTTCTGCCCCAAGAACAATGTCTAACCTCCAATTTGTAGCTGGTCGCTTTTTGTGTCTTTCTACGACACAGTCTTTTTACCTCATGAACTAAATATTTTCAGAAAACTGCACGATCAACAGATCACATTTTAGTGGCAATCCAGCTTTCGTGTCACCTAGCGTCCTTGCCAGCACCTGCTCAGAGCATGGTGTTTGGATTAATTAAAAGTTGAAGTGCACACGGTGGCGTTGTTTGTAGTTTGGTTTTGCATGGCTGTGCTGATAGGAAAGGCCAAGTGATTCAGTGGCTTTCCACCCTTTGCTTTTGAAATACAATTGATCGGTTGACAGAGAAGAAAAAGCAGTGGTTAAATATTGCGGTGGTCACAATACTGAGATTCAGATTGCTCATTAGACAAATTTTACATGAAAGCCTATGTTCTTTATGTATTATTTAGAGGGTGTGCTTTAGACACAGTTCTATAGGTGAGACAGACTTTTTTTCACTGAGAAACTTTGGTGAAACTGAGGTCAACTTGATTTAATGAAGTAATACATGCAGAGTTGATGTGCATACAAACATGTCCAGATTTCCTAATGTACATCTTCTCTTAAAATTTCTATTTTCCATAACACAGAATAGTGGCTACAGGGAGATGAAAGGAGCATAAAATGTTTAAAACCAGTAGATAGCAGTGGTGTGAAGTCATTGCCCTGCAGCCAGGAATGTTAGAACTGCATACAGAAAAATGTATTCCAAGACTGGAGCTTGTAATCCAGTCCCTATTTCGTTGAAGACAGCAATAAGCACATTTTGTGAATGCTGACCTGTTAAGAATTTGTGGGGGAAGTCACTGTGCAAGCTCTTCTCTTACCAACTTCTTTTCAGTATGCTGTGTGTACCAATGCTTCTTCCTTGAGAACAACGAATGTCTTTTATTTGAAGATACTGCAGAGCTTTGAGCCAAATCTCAGGCTTCTCATGTCATGTTATAAACCCAGAAGCAATTGTTGTTAACTAAGCAAACACCACAGTGTAAGTTTAATCTTAAGTTACTTGTATGCTTATTTACATATTTTACTTCATTTTTTTTTTCCAAAGAAGTGGAAGCAGAGTCTGTTTGTACATCCACCTGGGGTCTGGTAACTTAGAGTGAGCTAAACCAATACTGTTAGCAGTTTGCTAGTACACTTTGGTCAGCAGTACAAAAAGAAGCATACTTTTCAACTTTTTCAATTTCATTTCACAAGAAATGAACACAGTGAGTGGTGAGGATTACCTTGTTGAGTGCATAGAGTGCATAGCCTGGGAAACATCAATGGAATAATTTTTAAGTCTGCAGCATTCTAACTGGTGTTAAGAATCAGAAATTTTAATTAATAAATTGTTTACTTTCTCTAGTAATTGTTGAAAAGTGAGAAGAGATCAGATACAGTGTATGAGATGCTGGTGCTTGCACAGTGTTACGTTTGTGAACGGGAAGGAAAAGTGGGTGGCACATTAGCCGCTTTCATACACACAGAATTAAATGTCCGTGCAAACCCAGGGGGCTAAAAATGACCTTGGTATTCTGGTCTAATATTGCTTCCAAAATGACTTTCCAACTGCTTTTCTTTAAATGCAGTCTTGCTAAGAACAATGGAGTGAGATAGGAAGTTTCTAGTAACTTCTCTGCCCTGAGGACGGGGACGTTAGGAGTCAGATGGACAGAAACAGCCATGCAGAGATGCTGCATCGTCAAAGGGAAAGGCAGCATCTTTCAATCCTGCCTTCCACTCTGCTCTCAATCTCTTCCTTCACCTTTTCGTAGCTTGTGTGTTCATTTTTCTTCCACAAAATCAGGAAGCCCATAATTAATACAGCTCTTCTCTCTCACCAGTCACCCTTTTCCCTGCTCTCCATCCTTCCTATAGCAAGCTTACCCAGCTGGCTTTCCCCCCAGCAGCTTAGCTGTGGCAGGAGTCTTACTTACCCTACACCCTTCCATGTCTGTCCTTGGGAAGACACGGTGATGAACATATTTTGCCCCAGCATATTGTGTGGCAATATGTAATGGCCTTCAGGTTGAAGTTAATAGCAATATCTTACGGCTCTGCATTCCATTTTATGAAAACAACCATGCAAGCTTGCCTCCTTTTGTGCATACAATCAAAGGCAGAGTGGTACAAAACTCATCAGCAGTAGTAATCACACTTTCCCAGGCTGGGGTGTGGGGTGCCCTCGGTTATTTACGTTGCAGATGACTGATGCGGTCGCTGCAGCTGAGGTATTGTCCCGTGCAAGACGGGTTGCTGGCTGGTGGCTGTATGGAGCCGGGCGGTGGGAATCGGAGCCGCGATGTGGACCAAGCTGCCAAGATTCCCAGTGTTTCCAAGGATGTCTGCCAAATTGTCTGTGCCGGGGTTTTACGCTGTCAAAGCTAATAGCTTTCTCACTGAGGCAGCAGTTGAAGGCTTCGAGGTGCTTTTAGGAAAACTGGCCAGTTGGTTCTCTTGCTGACTTTTAGTTGGCAGGTTAAGTGTTTTAGTGTAAGAAGAAAAATCTGGGTCCATCTTCTTACGAAGAGGGAAAGAATGTGTGACTAATTTTTGTAACAGTGATAATTTCTATGTAAAATCAGGATGAAAATAAGCAGCGGACTGACTTACAATAAATCCTGTGGTGTGTCACGGTCTTCCAGCCTGTTTAAAATACACTGTCTTTTTTAACTGGGATTTCTAACTTATTCTGTGAGTTTTCTGGTTTTGGATTGGGTTTTTTTATTTTTCAATTCCTAATTCATTTATAAAGGCTTACAGCTTGCAAGGGGAGGGAGGGGAGAATTTGAGCACTTTCCCATGGGAAAGTAAATAGAGCTTCCCAAAATGAAGATATTTTCAAATTTTTTGTGCTTTGTTTTCCAAGTCCCGTCATTTTCCTAATCATTGTTAACATACTTAAAATAAGGCAGATTTTTGTCAGTTTCGTAATATATGTAGCGTGTTATGTGGTATTTAATATAAATTTTGTAATGTTTACGGGGGTTCCATTTTTCCCCAGTGAATGCAAATGAAGTTACGCTGAGGTATAACTGAATTATATCTGCTTAAATAGGTTAAAAGAATTATTTTTTGAGAGAATCACTACCTTATTGGATTATTTTTGGAGCCTTGTGGAAAAGGGTGTACATCTCTCAAAACATCACACCAGCTTATGGAGAGACCAAAGCTGACGCGTTCTTCTGCGGGTGGCACCTTTGCTTGTGACGTGGCGAACAAAGAGCAGATCTTCGGGAAGGCTGAAATGGTGCTGGGTGCTGCGTCCAATCGTGCCCAAATAAAATACTAGTCTTTCACATATTTCTTCATAAAAAATCACTCTTGAGCTGTCAAAACGTGTTTTCACTTTTCAATACCGAATGGGAATTGGTCATTATTAGAAGTAGCAAAAATAGTACGGAAATGGTAGCATTTGGGCTGTACATCTGAACAGTGGAGGGAAGGAGTTAAAGCCTTAGCTGGTGTGGGAAAGTTTGGTATTGCGTGTCGCTTTGCTGTTGCTCCACATTAATACAGCAGACTTGGCTTCTGTGAAACAAAAGGCTTTTAATTATTGCTGGTTCTCTTCCTGTCTATATGGAGAAATTGCACATAAAAACATCAGTTGAATTTTTAATTAGGAAAAACCTTCATAGAAAGTCCTTACAGAAATAATAAGCTCATTTGATTCTTGTCGGGGAGTGGAAAGGGACGGATAGAAGGGAAAATTCTTCAAAGATCAGAATTTCCTTTTTGTTTAAAGAAAGTAATTAGATTTTTATTTTCATGAAGCATTCCTGACTATTTTTTAACTCTTTTATAGAATCCTTTTACACTTGCTTAAAAAAAAAATCCTAAAACTTTTCTTTTTCAGAATTTTGACCCCAACCAGTAGTTTCCAAGATATTTGGACTCTTTATAACTTCCTTATAAGCAACGAGGTACGAAGTTTTCTTTAATGTTTTGTCAGATACACTTCTGTTACAGGTTTTTATTTAAAGTAGTTATGAAATCAGCTGTCTTGTGTTTCCACTATGGTAGAATTTTGAAGATTTGGTTTTACTTACTGGGCATTGGGCATAAAATATATTTTTGGTTGGCACCTACCAGAAGTTATTCAAATCTCTACTGATATTTGAGTTGCTTGCATGACTTTCTGAGCACTCATTTGTTGTGAATGACTTGCTGTTGTGAGAAAAAAGCCTTGAAGCTGCAATGGCCAAACCAAACCTGACCTCGTAATTTTAAGAAGAGGAGAGAGTACGTTGCGTTAGGTAGTTCTAAGGAGAATATTGGCTGCAGTTTAGAGGAAAAAAGATAAATTTAAATTGCCAGTTATTAATGAAATTTTAACTCATTTGTGGTTAAAGATTTTTAAGAAAAGAAATTGAAATTAATGTTTGCAGTAGAATAGAGGTACTTTTTTCATTTAGTATACTATGTATTTCAGATTTGCAGTACTTTTCTATACAGGAAATTGTTTAGGGTTTGGGCCTGCACATGTATTTATAGAATTAAGACAAGTCAGAACTTACATCATTTGCTACAGAACTATAGAGCAAATTAAGAGAAGAGGAAGAATTATTTAAGGTCTTTTAGATTTGTGCAGAAATTGTTAGAAAATTGAGTTGGAGTGATATCTGTCGCTCCCATCATACACAGTCGTGATTGCTAATTTGTAATACTTGATTTTAGAATTCATAGCGTGACTTTATGTACTGTCGCTTCTTGAGAGCCTGTTGGGTCATTAACCGTAGCTGTCATACCAGCTGTATAATTTTGATCTATATGTGATATGTCGTAAATTGCTATGTTATTTCTTTGTTCTTTGTTTTAGATAAATAACAGTATAACATTCACGGCTGAGGAGCTTTATGAGTGTGTTTCACAAGAAAGATATCGGTAAGCCAGTTACTGACCACGTCAGATGAGTTTTGCAACAGCATTTTAGTATGCACTGTATTAACCAAATTACTGTAAAAGAAATTGGTTAAATAAAAATCATCATTGTAGCAGGGGCATAGGGAAGATGAGTGGGGATGTTTTCTTCTTTTTATTTTCTTTTTTTTAATGACCTACTATTACAACAGAGTAGGAGAGAGTAGAAATTAAGTTAGCAATGAGCCATTAGCATCTACACAGCGACTGTCAGTTGTCTGAGGTGGGATGTTGGTCTCTCTTGGCCTCTACCAGCTTGGGATTCATGGCTTAGTGCAGACACAGCCAGTGTAGGTCAGCATTCAGTGTAAGGTTGCTTACGCTGCATGAGAATGCATTTCAGTGAATTTGATTACAACTGATTTTCTGTTATTGGTGAGGTATTTTTTGTAACAGAGCTTGTTATTATGAGAACTTTGCTTAAATCAGCAGAGGGAAAAAAAACCTGCTATTCTCAAGGCAATTCAAGTGATTGAGCTGTACCATGAGAACAGGGCAGGCAGATCAGCAGTTGCTGTGCTACGTTGTGGCTATCGTTATTAAAGTCATAAATCAAGCCATTGTTACCAAGCCATTTGTAAGTACAGTTAGGAAAAAAAAAAAGGAGATAAAAATTGACTTGTTTCCACTTTAGGAGACTTTTTTACAGTTCAGTCACAGGAAAATAAATGTTCTGTTGTACAGCTGAGTTAAAGGCCTTGAAAACATTAATCTAAAAGTGAGAGTCGTGCAAGTCGTACAGTTCTTTATGGGAAAGTTTCTGGCTCATAAAAAGTTTCTTCTTTCTGAATTTATGTAACAGAGGGCTTGTAATTCCAGGTTCTGTGAGGGTTTTTAAATGCCATAATGTTTTTTAAATCAATCTGAAGTGGATAATAAAAGACAGGTAAATATTTTCATTGGTGTTGCTGCTATATGGATATGAATTAGCTGTAACTTGCCAGGATATGAAGCCTGGTTCCATCAGCTGTGTAAAAGGCTTGCAGGTTACTTTAATATTTGGCCTGGATTGATACTGATTTCCTGAATCGTCTGTGAATTTGAAAGTTCAAATTGCTAGGGCCAAGGAGAAATGTTATGCAGGGAGGGAGAGCTTCAGTCTGTGCATCAGCAGAGAAAAGTAGATTTAAAGCTCAAATGGCTTGAGTTGGTGACCAGCACTTCTGTAGTTCTTACATTTTCAAACGTTTGTGGACATCTCCATCTCTGTCCGTATAAAATGGACAGCATAACTACAGCCTTTGGTGTTGTGCAGAGGGTAGCGCAGGAACTGCAGTTTCCTGATGTCTGGAAGGTGTCCCTTTTTATCAGAAAGCCTGAAAATTTGGATGGTTGACATGAGTTCTGTGTGCCACAGTAGATTTCATGGCCAAAACATTCTCATCAGAACTTTCATTTTCTGGATGAGCAGTGCAAGATGAGGATGCCGTTTTTGTTACATATAAGTAAGGAAGAGAATGGATGTTCTGTCATGAGCATAGCAGTGCCAAGGCTATAGGTGAGAAATGCTGTATATTTACATTGCTTTTTGTGATAGAATTCATCTCCTGCTCTGGCGAGCTGATCTGTGAGAGCAAAAAATAGTAGGAGGATATGAGGGTGCATCCTTTAAAAGCATCCCTTAGTTTGCACTGTATTAAAAAAAAATAAAAGAAGTTGACCAAGTGGGAAAAAACCCACCTAACCAACCTAGCTGTTGAAAATAGATCTGCATTGTTACGGGCATAAAGAAACTATGCTGTGTCAGCATAGTAAAAAAACAAAAATCCAGAGGTTGTTCCAGTAGCCTGAGGGCTGCACTTGAGTGACTTTACCCCGCTTTTTTTCCTCTTTCTTTTGAGGAGCACTATTTAAATGGTCTTTTGAGAAAGTATCTTTTGGAAAACCAAAGTGACAGAATGTTTTCTGTGTAACCAGGTTTAGATTCCTCTTTTGAAACAAGTAATAAATAAGTGTAGCCAAGAGATTTATTTTGTGTGTAAATACATTGTCTGTAAATATATGAAAGATAGTTTGAATTGAAACTGAAAAAGTCCCCATTCTGTCAAGAAAGCTGATATAAGTGACCTTGTAATGCTGATTATTTTTTAAAACTTCCTTTACGTAATACCATGAAAAGCAAAAAGTAAAAACGAGCTCTGGTAAGTTTACTGCTGGAAAAAAGGCAAACTGCTTAAACTGTGTGAGCAGTTCTGCTGCATAAAAATACAGCAGAATTGCAGTGATTTGGTGTCTGCATGTGATTTTTATGAAACTGGGCATGGGGAAGGGATATCCCGGATCTGGTCATTTTGCCAACATTTATTAAAGCTCTCCCAAAAATGGAAGCTTTGTTTCGCTGTCTTGCAGAAGAACATTGAAACTGGAAAGGTTTTTCATGTGTTGAACTACAGTGGCTGCTATTTAAAAATGCAACACCATTTGCCAGCCTGCCATATGTCCCAAAATAGGAATTGCTGTGGTTACTGTAAATGCACACTTAGGGGGCTTTTACTTAAAAAAAATTGTTTCTTACAGTACTTTTTTCTCAGTGTGGGTGTCTCATATTGTGTATGTCACCATAAGTCCCTTTAGAAGTAGCTAATATAAACAATATTTAAACTGTACAAGCATAAGCTTGTAAAATGTTGTCACTCCGCAGATGATCAGAAAAATTACAGATGTCAGGCAAGAGTGAGAGGAAGAGGACGAGCTGCACTGTCCTGGTTTCACTGGGGTAGAATCGGAGTCAGTTTTCTGTTCAGGAAAGCTGCGTTTCTGAGAAGACTGCAGCGCTGGAGTTGGTGGGAACAAAGTTGCTCAGACACTGGTTTAGTTTTTGGCCAGCCCTGGTATGCAGGCTGCCATAGGGATCAAGGGCTCTAGCAGTTTTGGGTTAGCCAAGTGCAGAAGCTGGGAGGAGCGAAAGCCAGGGCAGATGACCCAAGCTGGCCAACAGGATTATTCCATACCATAGATGTCATGCTTGCTATAAACTGGGGAGTTTGCTGGGGACAGCTCTCTTTCTTCAATCTCTGGAGAATCTCACCAGTCGTTCCGCTCCCAAGGCCTACTCCCCAACTCTTTGCAACCACTTTATGGGCTGAGTATAACTTCATGTAGCTCATATTAATATTGGTATTAATATTTGTTTCTTATTATAATTTTATTAAATCTCTTTCTATTTCAACCCACAAGCCTCCTTTCCTCTTCTCAGTTCCCCTCCTTGGGTGGGGAGGAGTCATTGGATGACAGAAAACTGCCTAGATGATGACATGCACTCAGCAGAGATTGAAATCAGATTATCCCAGAAGCCTAAAATCAGTTTCTGGCTGGATTGTGACTGTGGATAGAACTTGTTTCTATCTGCAGCACATAAACCTATGGAAGATGTATAGTTGACTTGCAGCCTAAACACATTCACTAGAAAACAGTCAGTTGAAGGCTTAGTTTTGGGTTGAGGAGCCTGAACTAATGTTTGTCATGTGGGTCTTGGATTGTTCCTATTTAAAGCTGTCACTGCAGGATGCGACAGTGCATGACCAGCTCTGTCATAAACTTCATCTTTTGCTGTAGAGATAAAAATACACCAAGGTTTCCAGAGGTCCTGAGTATTCTCTGCTTTTGGCAGAGTTAAAGGGTGGTATGAGAATCCCTTTGAATTTTGTTTTGTTTTAAAGGAATTTACTGAAACATTCCTGTCTGTAAAATGGGTCCATTGTGTCCTGATAACATTTGTGCCTTCTGTTCCCCAGGGGAAGGCTGGAAGTTGGCTGTTGCCAGCTGGTGCAGCTGGAGCACACCATTAAGCAGTGCCATGCATCGGTTCACATGGAGGCCAGGAACAGGGGCTGGCTGTGACGCTTCGGCCAAGGTTTGGAGCTGCTGCATTCACCTCTTGCATTCTTGTCCACACAAAGCCCAACTCCTCTGGGAAATACTCGAGAAGCAAAAAAATTGCCTTCTTTTTTTTTCCATGGTGCTGTTTTGTATTTGATTTGAAGGGAAAAAACCACGACTAGCTACTTATGTATGTTAAAGATCAGGATTTCTGCTGTGAATGGGAAGCTGATGGAATTGACTGTGTTGAGTGAGGGTCCCTGGATCGCTATGGGCGACGTGTGAGCCTGCTGTGCTGGATCCTAAACATCCATGTGAGGAGGGAGGTTTGCTAATGGTCGTGTAGCAAAATCCACATAAAGATTGTTTTGCTAGCACTTGAGAAGTGACAGGTGAGAAAAAGGACTTTGTGATAGCTGAGATTGGAAAGGCAAGCGGCTGAATGCAAAGTGATATGCGTGGTGCTGCTTGCTACCCCTGCGGACACGAAGGACTGGAACGCAGGTGTGTATCCTATGCAGTGCATATATAAGGCTTAAGAGAGGATATGGAATGGGGACAGAGGGATTAATCTTCATTTTTTAAAAAAAAAAACACAAACAAAATAACCTCCTCGCCCCCCCATGCAGGTGTGCTTGTCCTGCAGCTCTTCAGTGGAAAGAGATTTTATTTCTCTGTTAAAATATCTGCTTCATCTTCATAGAGCAGAAACCTGCTGGGAGCTTCCTTTGGAGAAGTCATCATTCTCGCTTGCCACCTTCTCTTGCAAAGGCAGGAGCGGTTTCCCTGGGGGTGATCCCCATGACTTGTCTCATCTCTGCTCTCCAGCTCTAGCTGAATGTATTCTTCGTTGCTTTCCAAAACCACTTTCAGTCCATGAAACTTTTTAAAAGCCATTTTCAGTGCTGCCGTGGCCTTGAAAGCTACCTCTTCTATGTATCTATCTGTACAGAGATGACATGACTGGCAAAGTTCTAGTGTTTATTTTAATATTAACTTTTGGATGTATTTGTAAAATCTTTATTGTAAAAAAATCTGATTTATTGTTACAGTAAATGGCAGTTGATTCTATGTGGTGGTGTTACTTTGAAGAGCTCTGTTCTCACGTTGCCTAATGGCCGTGATGCCAAGTTTGATGCCGTTCTTGCCCCTAGACACTCAAAAGTCAGAGAGCAGCAGCTTGGCAGGGCTGCTGCTGGAGCACCAGTCATTTTAAGGGCTGTTTCCAGTCAAGTTGTTACCCTACAGCTGTGGGATAAGTCTGTTCTGCTCAAATAAAGCTTATATTGGCAATTTGCATCACAAATCCAGGAAGCTGGACCAGCTTCAGCACATGATGCCTGCTGTAGCTCACATCTACTCTTGATACACTCTAGGGTCAGGCAGCTGAGACAGATCAGGGCAAGTACTTCCTCCCCGTTCAAGTGCACCCAGCTTCACAGCTTGGAGTCATCGGTAAAGCTCTTTGCTCTGTTGTTTTTCTGCTCCAGTGTAGAGCTGTAGCAGCCTGCTCGCGCCCCTCGTCAGCAGGACTCCCCTGTGTTATGTGCAATAACCTGTAGCAGAGGCCTGGATCAGAAAGCTGTAGTGAGTGACATTAGTCATTACTGGTGGATTAATTTCCTAAAGCTAATTACTGCTGAGGAGCACAGGTGAATGAGCTCAGGTTTCTGACAACAGCACTGGGTGTTTCTTTTCACCATGGTTGGGCACTTCTTTGCTTCTTGTTCACTTGGCCCCCTTTTCCCTCTGGAGACCCCTATGAATCTGCACAGAGCTTTTAGTAACTTGAGCCCGAGAGCAGCCCAGCAGCAGGGAAACCTCCCCGGCCAGCAGCCATAGTGCACCAGGAGCCAAAGGCTGCCTACTCCGAGTCTGCCACTCTCAAGAACTAAGCATAACTCCCACATTGCAGGCAGGTAGATGTGACACTTAACCCTTTGGTTCTACTCAAAGGTGGGGTCAGTTAAACAGCCTCCCTTCTTACATCTGAAATGTCTATTTTAACATAACAAACTCCTGTTTGTAAACCACCTGGTTAAAGAAAACACAAGGACACATCACAGCAATCCTGTGGTTCAAGGATTTTCCACAAGGTACCTTTAATGTGTTTGCATTGGCAGCAAGCAGGCAGTGCTCAGTTTGGCACCAGGAGTTAGAAGTGCAGCACTAGACGTGAGACACCAAGTCATCCTAACCAACATTTTATCCATATGAATAGAGAAAGTGAACTGAAACATAGTACTATGAGCATATACAAAATCAAGTTATTCATGTTCTATCACACTTTCAGCTTGCAGTATTAGAAAAAGAAACTGAAGACGGTTACTAACCAAGAATACATTTTCATTGCCAACTGGCAGGAGTTTAAAAACCACAAGAAACCCCCACACCAAAGGGTTTGTTTCACAAAGGTCAGCTCCCCCCCCCATGATAAAACTGCTGTACAGAAAGCACCCTCTGCCTTTTTGTCAAAATAATATGAAGCCAAAAGAATTTTCCTGTCCTAGAAAGTCACAGCTATGTTATGTTCAGAAACTCCATTCCGCTCTAACAAAGGCGTTGCATACTAAGTGACAATATTGCAGCAGAGGCAAAAGCTCAGAAGCCATGTCCAGTGGCAAATTGGTTCTCCCACAACTCTTTACAAACTCCAAGGTTGTCTCTTTGCTTCAATAACCACTGACCTGCCATTTTTACATCAACAGACAAAATACTCTGCTGAGTATATAAAAACTGTTATAAAAAGGCAATTGTAAAAGAGGAGGTATTGGCAGGCATGTCAGCTTTTTAATAAAAAAAATAGCCATTATATCTATTTAAATAAGGCTTCTTGTTACAGATTGTTCCAGTTACTGAAGGAAAACAAGGCCTGATGAAAAATAAAACAAAAATGGTCCCCCCATGAACCTTACACTTCCTGCCCCAAGAACACATCCTACAAGAACAGTCATTTAATGTGCAAAGTGACCAAACAAACACCAGGGGAAACTCCTGAAATGATATGCCCTGTCTAGTTTATCTTGCATTATCTTCAAAAAAAATCTTAACAAAAAAACCCCTAAAACAAAGTTCTAAAATACACAAAAAACCCTTCATCTTGATATTCTTTCCAAAACAAATATGTACAGCACGTTAATATGCAATATGCAAAAGCTCTGTGTTGCTGTTGGCAACATCTATGCCCTCCCCAACCCTATTCACATGTGTACCTCTACTAACACACAATTACATCACTAAGCCTGTTAGTTTGAAAGGGGAATTTAATTCACTTAAAACTTGTAAATTTTTGTGTAGGGGCTCCACTTGTTTGCTTCTGGATTGTAGACTTCAACAGTGTTCAAGAATTCATTGCCATCAAATCCCCCAACTGCATAAATGCTGTTGGCCACCGTGGTGATGCCGGCGTTGCTCCTGGGAGTCGTCATGCTGCCCATCATCTTCCACTCGTTCTTGGCAGGGTCGTACATCTCCATGCAGCTCACTGCGTGGGAGCCGTCAAAGCCTCCGCCCACAAAGAGTTTTCCTAGCAAAAGGAAACAAAGTAAACACTTCACTGCTAAGCACCAGCATTGTCACCTACCACAGCCTCCTTTCCGGGAAGGAAAACTAAGCCCAAAAGAAGGAAATTCAGGTTTTTTGTCATAAGCCTTTGCCTTATTCAAGGTCTGAAGTGATGGTATTGGGCCTGCTCTTGATTGTTAGAGCTGACTGGAAATTAGAGTAAGCGCAGAATCCAAATTCAAACAAATGCAGTTGTGGAAGCTGCATGTTTTGCAAAGAGGTGGGGGCGAATGCCCCAAAACAAGGGGTTTTTTTGTTTCTCTGGTTCCAGTTTTTAATTAAGTTGGAGGCCTAGCCAGGTTCTTACTGTACTGTTTCCTCCCTGAGAAGGAACACCGCTTTGTATTCTATTTGCATCGTAGCTTAACGTGAAAAATTCATCAAGCACAAGAGGCTGCTGAAGCCTGTGGAAGCCCTACCGTCACGAACAGCCACTCCGGCTCCTCGGCGAGCCACATTCATGGGTGCAATCAGGGTCCAAGTGTTGTTCTCAGGATTGTAACGCTCCACGCTATTCAGGCAGTTCCATGATTCTGCTCCTCCGATGATGTATAAATACCCCCCCAGCTCACAAACTGCAGACTGGTGCCTCCCTACAATCAAACACCAGCAGTTACAGCCCAGCACAGAGGCCATGCCCTAACAGCATGCCACAACAGCTGAGATTTAAACAGGGTTTTTTCTTTGGTTTGGTTTTAAACCTGCAGTTTTTCAACTGCCCTTTTTCTCCTCCTTCTGTCCCAAACTACACAACACACTTACGGATATTAAGGGGAGCACAGCTTGTCCAAGATTTTGTGATGGGATCAAACACATCGCAGTTCTTAAGTCCCTTTTGGCCATAAGGATCTGAACCACCAACTATGTACAATTTTCCATTCAGGGCACATACTCCTGTTCATATAGGATACAATAATAAGTAAGCTAATAAATGAATAAATTTAAAAATCCCCCAACAGTTGATCAACTGCAGATGTGTTACCTGCATTGCAGCGATTGGTTCTCAGCTCCGGAACAGGAGTCCAGTCATCTATTTCTGGCTCATACATTTCTCCACAGCTCAAGTCATCTGAGTGACCATTTGACCCCCCCACAACATAGAGCTGACCCTAAATGGAAAAAATAAATACCTGCTTCACATATAAGTACACAAAAAATTCCAATTATTAGCACTTTAGTAACTGTGTAGCTACAATTAAGCAACTTCTGTTGCCAGTTTGTAAAGTTTGCCCTATTTGTGCCCCTACATTGACATAATGTCACCCTCCCTCCGCTCCCCACCCACCACTCACCATTAAAACAGCCATCTGGAACCGAGCTCGTGGCGTTCTCATCGGCGCAATGAAAGTCCACGTGTCCTTTTGCGGATCATAGCATTCCACTGTGCGCAAACACTCCTCTCTGTTATAGCCACCTAAAGGCAAAAGGTGAGAGGGTATCAGCTTTCCAAAGACCAAGTGACGCTGCAGAATGCTGACTCTAATATAGCATTTAGAGTTAAGAAGCCACTGTCATCCCCCACCACTCCTAACTGAGCAACAATTAAGCTGTTTAAAGAACCCTCATGATTTCCTTTACCTGCAGCTATTAGCTTCCCATTAAGCTCAGCTGTGCCCAGTCCAGACCGAGCGTACTGCATTGGAGACATGGGCTTCTCTATGATATCATTCGGTTGAAGCTCAAAGCTCAGACTCTTCAGCAGTCGTGGCGTGCTGGTGGGAGAGCTCTGAGGGCTGTTACGGCCGTGCAGGAATATCACGCACAGGACACCATCCAGAACAGCGAGACACAGATAGGTGTTACCTAGTGGCAGAAGAAAAAGAGAGAACACCAGTAGAATAAAATTTTAGGGGAATGCCAACTTGGGTCTTCTGAATGGGCTTCTCCCCTTAGAAGTGTGAAAACTTTATTTTTGCTGATTACTGGTTCCAAGTGTTAGCCTAGTTACTGAAAAGACAAGTTTTAGATTATTAATACACTGCTTAAAGGATACAAGATAGTGATCCAAAGACATGAGGAGAGTGTCTCCTCAAACACACACAGAGCAAATAGCTCTGTTAATTAATCAGGCACTGCCAGTCTTCTTGGGACCTTCTGGGTAAGTTACACACACCATGGGATTAGGGATACCCCTGTCGATAAGGAATCGAGAGGTAAGTGATCCCAATTTGGCCCCAGTTGTGTAAGAAATATCCCACAAATTACTGGGCCATTTCCTTGACTTGAATCATCAGTAAGAAAAAGCACTTCTGCATTTCTTAGAGATGTTGAAGGAAATCCCCAGGGAGTGGGAGGCAGTAAGTACACAATACCAGACATCTTTTAGACAAACCATGCCCCAGTTACTCACTTGAAGTTTTCTCTGAAGCAATGATTTTCCACTCGTGTTTAGGACTCTGAACAGCAGCATTTGGAGAAAGACTTCCAGAGGAGCTGCTACTAATCTGCTTGTGATCATTCTCACGTGGTGGCTTCTTCTGCAAAATCAAAAGGCAGCTACAGAAACCTAGCCAGAGACTACATCTCCTTCTACCTTTGCTTCTCTAAGCTAATAGGTAACTATTCAAAGAGAACACTTCATCTACCACCTCTGCAAAGCATCATTTATAGCACACTGAAATTTTCAATAGAACATCTGGCCTACTCAGCAACAGTGGCTAAAAACAACGCTACATCCTACTGTGGTACCCCCATTGCATCTTGTGACTGCACCTTTATAGTGCTGGTGTCTGACGAGAAATCAGTTTAAACTCCTAGATGGGAGTATGCCTTACATTTGAAAATCGTGCTGCTAGCACAAGACCTACATCCATTTGGAGAGAATTTATCTGCAAACAAGCAGCCTTGCTCGCAAGCTCTGCTTCTGGAACTGGAGTTAGTTATATAATGCTACTTGGAAGTGAATTAACTATTCTCTTCATTCCCTGAAGACAAATTAATTTCACCTCAGTTCCTCTCTGTGCTCAGATTAGCTGTTTCTTGGATTTTACTCCCTTGATACTTCCCACTAACAGGAGATTTCTGCTTTCTTTTCTTCTTCAATTAAATTTATACTGTAGCTTACATTATTTTTCCTCAATTAAAAAAACCCTGAAATTTCACATTTCAGATTACCCTGCACGGTTGGGTTATGCAGGCTTTTTCCGATTCGTTAGAACTGAACACAGAAAGTGAACATTCTGTCTGTTCTGTTTAGCAGCAGTACCAACTCTGCCATTCTTGCACAGTTCCCTGGAGTCTGATCTCAATGGGAACTATCATAAAGCTTCTGAAATCTATCATCTAACGCACTGATAACGTTACACCACAGAGTTGGATTGCTATACTCTGCTCAATGAAAGCCAATTAATTTGTGGATAGCATTTGTGTTATTTCTGAACTTTCATCCAATTAAGGGCTTATTCTCTTAGCCTTAAATTACCTCGACAGTCTCAGAAATTAGAAATTTTTGTAATTCAAAAACTTAAACATTACAGTTTTTCCAAGACTGTCATCTATGTGTTTTCCGGTGTTAAATCTCTCAGCTGTTTAGAATTTCTAAAGTCGGCAACTCTTATTATCAGAAAGGATTCTCACAAAGTTGAGAACTCTTGGCCTTATTTCTAAAAATGAACTTTCTGAATGTTCTCTTCTCAGCCTTAAGTATTACGAAGAGTAGTATCCAGATGTGGTAAAGTCTGTGAAGGCTTACTAAAAACAAATAAGAAACTGGAAAATTAGCTGGCTTTTCATTTTCTTCTCTTTTCACTTTTAAAATGACAAACATTAGCTGGAAATTTCAAGAAGTACACTTTCTGATAAGCACATTACACTGAGTTAAAATGTTACAAAATATTTGCTTATAACTCAGTGAATTTAAACAACCGTAATTTGGACAAAGCAACTGATAATTTACATCTATTAGCCCTTGTTCATTCTGCTTCCTAAAGAGCCTCCAGTGTGCTAAGTTTTTCAGGAGCTGAGAATTACTGTACCTGAAAAATTAAAAATTACCATCTCAAAAAGGACAGAACTGATTTGTACACAGTCAAAGCATCATCTGTCTCTAGATCAGTCGTTACATATTGCTGCTTCTTTAAAATCTCTTACACATTACTCTTGCAACTGAATAGAAGAAATGGATGCTGGCAGCTGAAGGATTAGAACTTCTGTCTGGAATCTTTTTCTGTGCCAAAATTTAGTAGATGCGTAAGCCATTCTCCACTGCAAGCCGAGCAGTCTGTGATTCTTTACAGTCTCTCTCGAATCCCTACAAAGCCACAGCTGACTCACTACAGCTGTCTGCTTTTCTACCTCTTCTTTCTTCTAACACCCTAAGGTTTATTTTGAAGCCAAACCTAAAGCACTGTGTTTTGCAAAGGCTTAGTCAGCCTGCTGAAAAACCTGAAGCGGAGACTAAATCGCCTCCAGCAGTTGCGAGAAAGATACTTTCTCACCATGTATTTCTCCGTTAAAGCCACTGCTGCTTTCTGTGCTGCAGTACACATGACTTCAGGTGTGCTGTAAACTGCTCCGGTCCAGCTGGAGTTACCTGAGACTGTCTGCAATTTGTACCTGCACAAACTGAATGTGGTCATCATCACTGCCATACACCTCAGCCTGTCCATCTAGCAGATTTCCATCAAGCAGCTTGTGATCAGCTGAGTAGTACAGCGTTTGAACCTGCAAAAACAACAACAGAATACCCATGTGGCTACTGTCTCCATTGCTACTTAGCTACAGGCAGATTACAAAAGGCAGTCGCCAGCATACTTCTCGTCAGCTCATCTCAATCTAGCAGAATGACAAAACTAAAAGGAAGCAGATGTCATGGTGGCAATCTTCCAACATTGGAGGAAGGCTCCTTACTTCCTCAGCTTGAGAGAAATCTTCGTTTTCCGAGGACTTCTACTGTTTTTCCAGCAGAGAAACATTAGACAAGCAAAAGGCACATTAATTTGCAGAATTACACAAATTCACAGTCTCATGCAAGCATTTTCGTTATCCCCGCAAAAAAGTTTTCTGCTTTGAAAGATACACATATTTATCTCAATCAGAAATAGTTAAGAGAAGGCAACAGTGGACTCTTAAGAGGAAGGTATGGGGATGAGGGAAGACAACACAAATCTAAGTTCTGGAGGAAACTGTTGTCCACAACTAAACATCAGATGCAACTGTTTCAATGAAATGCATCTGAATTTCAACATGATCAAAGATTTTAAAAGTTCTTCCAAAAGGAAATACACACTTGAGAATATACGACAGTATCAACATGTACTTTTGCCTATACAAGCGTTGCTGAAGATCTAACGTGCTTGTGATAACAAACTGGGAAATCTTTGATGTTTCATGGGTTTTTGTAAAGTCCATTTTCTTCAGCCAATTAAAAATTTAGATTCCCCACTCATTTTTCCATTTAAAAACTGCCCAGGCTACATCTAGTATTAGTATTCATGAGTAAAGCCATTTAACAACACACAACTTTAAAGAATGCATCCTGTAAAGAAGTAAGTAAACACCATTAAATCATCATCATCATCGTTCTCTGCCCACAGCGGATTTTCTTAGGAGAACTGGGGCAGGACTGCTGCTTCTGTACGTGTCAATACACTTGAGGTTTCTTCTTGGTTCTTCAGCCTTGGTATCCTAGTTTTGTTAATAAACCTATGGGGAGATAAATCAACGGGGAGGAACAACCATTAGAAGCTTTTACCTACTTTGCATTTACAAGCAAAACCTGCAAAGGAAAACATCAAGAATCTACGGCAAGTTTCAGTACCACCTCCCCAATTCTAAAGCGAGATACACGCCACTTTGAGGTTACTATACAGCACGTGTAGAGCAAAAAAGGAAAGAGCAGAAGACCAGACTGAACAGTTCATTCAGCTCACCTGAACACCCCCCCAGTTTCTCAGCTTAGGGGTACCTACAGTAAAATTTAAATTCTTTAGGGTCATAGTTAAAAAAGTGGAAAAAAAAAGAAAAAGGGATCATCCTTCAGATTGACTTTTTATTTTTAATAAAAGAGGTTTAATCCCATTTTCTCAAAGACTAACCTCTTCCATTAGATCTTCCAGGCTGTCTCCGTTCTCCCAGATGCTCCGCTGTACCCAGTTGATTACCTTTGTGTACAATTTGCCGTTGCTGGGTAGGCCAACATTGTCTTCCAGCATTACTTCAAGCTTGAATTAGAAAAGAAAAGGATGATTTACTCTGTAGGTCTCACCCTTGAATTTGCAGCATACTGTACTTCATGTAGCAAGCATCACTCTCACTTTACCACAGAGCTAGAAACCACCACCTACGAGGAGTTTTCAAGCCTATGCCACTGAAAGTAGAAAGCATACATAAGCACAACTGCAGTTATCTTTTGTGCTTAGAAAGGATGACAGTATTTACTGCCTACAGCTAAGGTTCGCAGTAATATTCATATTACACAGATCCATAATTTTCACACCAGTCAGTACACCAAGTTTTCCCACGCCCAAAGAAGGAAGCCATAATAGTTGCTCCTTGGGTTGTTTTTTAGAAATCACATAACAGGAGCCTACAAACTTAAGCTAACCTTTAATCGTGGAAGTTTGAGAAATTCTTCCTGTTCTGAAATTTGTAAAAGGTGTTCCTGAATGTAGCCATCGATCTTGTTCAACAAACGCGAGTCTCCCATACAGCTTGCAAAGTTTCGGTAAGAGATGCAGCTCTGAACATCCATCTTGGAGAGCAAATAGTCACCACAAACCTTAAGAAAAAAGGCTGCATCTTAGTTTACACATAGACAAGATTTTTATACGTTTAAACTATCCATGCCAACATAGAGCAACAGCTGTTTTCTAACTGTAGAAGAGTGACTGTCTGTTGTCATTCCCCTCACCTGTGTTAGAGCTGTAAACAAAATGCTGCCTTTCACAGGAATATGCATACATTAAAAGTCACACACATTCTAAAGCTACTCACATATGCACTGACCCCATGCTTTCCTATTGAACGCCTTGTCAAAACTGCTGATCCGCAGTCAAGTGAAGATAAGAATCCCAATTCCCTTGCCAAAGCTATCCCCATTTATGTTGAAAGTTTCCAAAGTCAAGCACTACCAAGCTCATGTTCAGGACTGCATGGATTCTTCTTTTTTCCACATATCTCTGCCACAGATCGACAGGTTTAATTGTGCCCCACAATGCAATCAAGCCCACCACTGCTTCCATGAACCTGAAGGTAAGGAACCAGCTGTGATTCAAAAGCCATTTCATTTATAGGGGTGTACAAACACAAAACTTAACTTCAGAGAACTCTTCAGCACAAAGTTAGCACAAGAGGAGCAATTCACAGTGATGCCACTCAAATCAATGCAATGCTAATGAACATCTAAAGAAACTCATCCAACTGAACACTTTTTCCACAGAACCATCATTTTTTTTCTCTCATTAACACCAGAAAGCATATTGCTGTCAGCCTGTGAAAGCAGAATGGACTTTTTGAAGAGCCGAGAACTGTACCTGCTTAACTCTCTCCATCTTCAACTTCTTTGCTGCAGAGTATACATCTTTCACCAGTTCTTTATCGGCTTTTAACCTATTAAAGAAATTTCTTTATTATTTTTGTTTTTTAAATTAAAGTCTAGTTTCTCTAGTTTCTCTGAAAACTACTTACTGAGCTGTATAAGCATAATTCAACAGAACTTCAACAGCTTCTGGATTGAGGTCATCGAATTTAACATGGGAAATTCCATGAGAATCACTGTCACTATTGAAGATTTCAAACAGGTAGGGACTGCAGCAAGCTAGCACAGCTCGGTGCGCCAGCATCTCATGTCCGCATACCTTTATTTGAAACACAAATAGGAAATCCACATGCTAGTAAAAGGTTGCTTAAAGTATGTTTGTTTTATAATAGTATAAAGGCCTTCCCAAGTGAACATCACGGTTCAAATCAATTTGTCAAGTCAATAAAGTCTCCAATTTACGTCAACTGAAAAAAAAAAATATTACTGTTGCTTCTCTCAAAGTATCTCTCTTTTTTTTTTTTTAAGTATGCATTTTTCAAAAAAATCAGATTCTAAAATCTCATGCCTCACTATTAAGGAGACACATAACATTATATAGTGTAATTAAAAACCCACTGCATTCAACCATCATACTCGGACAGAAAAAAGGTACCTGGAGACGGACATCGCAGAACTGACCACTTTTACGTAAGGCATTTAGTTTGGCAACAGATGACTCGATGAAGTTTTCATCTTCAAACATCAAATATCCATTAGGAATCATTTTGGTGCTGGTGTGGCTGAAAACAGAATGGATAAAGTTTACAGATACAACATTTTACTTCATTATAGAAGTACTATTAAAACATTGTTTGCAAACAAGCATTCATGTGGAATTAAAAAAAAAAAGCACCTAAAAAATGCCTAGAAGAGCACTGCTGCTGCCGAGTCCATGCAGACAACAATCCTTTGGATTGACTCGATTAGTGATTTTTAGAGAGCAAGGCCACAACTTTTAATTTATCCCCATCACTTCAGTAGGCACAAACTCCAAAACTACGCGCTGAACCTGATCTAGTGCTGTGGGAGCAAGCTGGAAACCACTGGATTACACAAGAAGCTTCATTCCCCTCTACAGACCGGATGTGGTAGATGGATCACAATTTTCTGCTCACTGCATGAAATCTGCCATACTGGTCAGCTTCCTTTTGTTGCACAGACTCAAAAACCAGCTACATTGAAAAACAAGAACTGAGAATTTAACATAACTAGTGAAGTAGAAAAGCTACAGAAATAATTTTTGTTTAATTTTATGAGTAATAATTTAATATTTTAGAGTAGCTGTAAGTCACAAAAGAACATTAGCACCAAGGAAACAGACAACATTTAATAAATTCCTAACAACTAGCAGGAAGTAGTTTAAGTCATCACAAAGCTAAAACAACTTCCCCTGAAGACCTTACTCATGTACAAACATACCATCTCAAGTAAATTGGACCAAGACTGCAAAAATAACTTCAAGAAACTAACTTGTGAATTTGGAAGCTATTTGATAGATAATTTAATTAATTTTTTAAATTTTTTCTTTTTAGTTAAGCACTTTTAGGAGAAGTTCACTTTCCAAACAGGTAGCTAATCAAGAACACTAAAATATGACCCTGAGGTGACTTAATGAATTTGAAATAATAAATTTAAAAAAAAAAGCAATAATCAAACTTTTAAGTTTGAGCTGCTACCATATGCAAAAGTACACTTTCCTCAACAATTTTAGAGGAAAAAACAGAAAAAGCAGATTGCAAAAATCAGTAATAAAAATAGCTATTCACATCCCCTCTGAATAATTCTAGTGTTAATCTGTTTATTTTAAACTCACTCACTACTGAAAGCATTTGACCCTAAACTGGCAACAGTAATCTTTCTTACAAAGATCATGATCCATTTGTATCCACTTCCATTTGTTGTGTTTTATTAAAATAGGACAAAAGTTTTGAAGTCACAGAATTTCAGCAAAAGTAATAACGAATAGACTCAGCTAACAGTATCCACTTACCTAGCAAATATATTACTTTAAATTTTGAACTGGGAGATCTTCAAATTATCCAGTGGTATCACCGAGTTAAACCAGAGCACTTAAGCTTCCGTATCTTCTGACAGGGAAGATGTCTCTTGAAATGCAAAAGCAGACCTGTCTTCACAGCTGCAATACGGATTCCAAAACTATCAGGCTTGAAGATGATGTAACAAAGTCCTTAAGAGCTATAGACATGAATTTCTTCTGTGATAATCATGCATCATAATCTGCAAAAAAGTAGAAGTTATCAAGTAATGACAATGTATTTCAGATGAAACTTTAACAGTGTTTTAAAAGTACCAGCTCCTGACTGAAGCAAACAAGTTTTCCTTCACAAAAACAGTCCATACTGACATCAATACACTTGTCAAGCCTAACAAGAGGTCAACCACATCAATTTTTATACTCACGGAGACAAGAAAGTGGCTAAATTAGTGCTTAGAGAAAAAGTCAGAACCGCTGAATCCCACTTTTAGACAATTCCTTACCAATTCTACCCTTCAGCATTTCCTCTATCTAGATCATTATTGCTTGCTTACACAAGTAGATAACTCTTAAGTAACACAACAAAAATGACCAAATTTTAAAAAAGAAACCAACACACATGCCTCCTACCTTTTGCTTTTCCTGTACTCACCTACTTATAGCCTTCTTCTACTGAATGCCTAAAATGGACTGAAGATAGATTAAGGACACGTCTGAAATGACTGGGCATGTCTCCAGTGCTTCAAAAAGAACTATGAAGTCAGAAATGGCTATTTTGATGAGTTTCTTAGACAAAAAGTCTCTCTGCTACCCTGTGAACCAAATCTGTCAAGTTCTGGTCAAGTTGTGCACTGGTAGTGCAGACTGGAGTAGCCTTGCTGGGATTCTGCATGCGGGTGGGCTGTTTATGCTGGGCTTTTTCGGGAGGGGAGAAGAGGAGGAGGAGCAGCAAGGGGGAGGGAACGTGCACCAAACACCCACTCTGGAACTTTCCATGACCCTGATGCCACCTCAGGAAAACATCAATCACTTCATCCACTTGAGTTCCCCACTCTGGTTCCAAACCTATATTTATATCTACAGATTAAATGCCACACTGTGAACCTGGTTTCCTAAAAATAGGTGCAGCTCATTTCTGCTTGTCAAAAATTCAAAGTCACCTATGTTGTAGGAAAGAACTGTACCTCCCTCCGTCCCAAAGCCCACGAGCAGCTCCTGCCCGATTCTCCAGAGCAGCAGGGGGCATTATCCCACCACCTTTCAGCTCCACAGGAAAACCACTTCCATCCCTGGCCGCTTCCCGCAACCCTGAACACAGAATCTTTCAGCCAGCAGATAACCAGGTAGAAGGAGTTAATTAACTTTGGTTACTCAAACAGACACAAACACATAGATATAAAGAAGGAAACAACTGCTCCAGGGTAGACGTGGTGTGTGTCTGTCTGTAATACAGCCACTCTCATGCAGGGAGGGCTATGGGACCAGTATCCAGGAAACAGAACTTTCTGCAACGTAATGTTCGCATACTTTGCTAGGAAAAAATCTCCATGGAATAAAGGTATATTCTTTTCATAATCCTACAGGCAACTTAAGAAACTGAAACCAAGCTCTATTTACCAAATACTATTTAACTAAGCATTTGAAAGTCAACATTTCTGCTATTGTTGGTACAACTGGTATAACCTTTTCAGTTTCTAAAGGAAACAAAACCTTTCACTTAGAAACAGAAGTAAAAGTCTGATATCCACACTTTCCCCAAAGATTCATCTCAACTGAAGCACTCCAGTTCAAAGATGCAGAGGTATTACTGCAACACAAGTGTTGCAATGAATTAGCTTAGAGAGAAAGTTGCACAAGAGCATTACCACCTGACTTTATCACTTCACATTTTAAATCTTCCATTTCTGCTGTACGAATGATCTAGACATGACGGCCAGACTTACCCAGCCAAATGCAAACTTACAGCTGGCATCTAAAAAACGCAAGCCAAGGGAGAGGAGCTCTTGGCTCCAGGAGTTGCACTGGGTGGCTGGTACAGCCTCAGACCATTTGGTGTGAAGGTTTGGACCAACCCAGTCACCGCTTGCTTGGTTCTGGGCAGAACACAACACACCACACATCAGGTTATCCACCTTGCTCACACTGGGTTTAAACCAGGTTTTTCTTGCCTGACAGATCTCTCAGAGAAGTTTTGTTGTTACCAGAGCAGAGGGCCGTAATTACCACAGCAAATTAAATCTACACTGCCACCACAGTTCAGACAAACAGGCTACTGGTCCACTCGCACATCACGTCATGCATTTCCCCGTTCAATATTCACTGGGATTGCTGTTAATTATCAGTCCTGAGGCTTTGGGGAGATTTTGAGTTACACAATAACTATTCAAACAATTTCAACTAAATTCTAGAACCATCCTTGCTCAGTTTACATCTCGGCATGTTTTGTCATGCTCTGCCATAATGGAGGAACTTTATTTCAAGTGCGGTGTTTTAATTTTGCCTGATGTACTTCCTTAAGGCTTTCAAGACCTAAAAAGGAAATCCAAAATAATTCTGGAATAAAATGAAGAATTGTCTTTTAAAGTCCTCCTTCGTGCATGAGGTCAAACCCACACATTTTGGATTTATGCACCTAATAGTATTGCCTAATCTGAATGCCTTAATTATCGCCACAAAGTTTCAATACTGCTGTGTGTGAACCATGGCTAATATTACTACTCAAAATGGCCTTAAATAGTGCATATTCCTTACTTTCTGCATTCTTTTTGGTTTGGTATACTACCGCTAGAACAAAGCCAAACAATCAACCAAAATTCAATGAAAAGCCAAGAGTGCTGCATGTTCTGCATTAAAGGTTATAATCAGGTAATGCAAATAAATTCCCTTCTGAAATTATTTTTTAAAAACTATTGTCATTACCTTCCTCCTTCCTGCTCCTTATACTTCCTTCTAGCTCACCACTTCAAGAATTGTCAGTGGCTTCTTTTATCATTTTCCAGCCTTTTGAATTTTTTTTTAAACCAAGTGTGATGCTCACAGATCACTGTCAGCCAGGTAAAGTATGAAGTCTGATGCCTCCAAAGTGATTATTTTTATCTTGCAAATGCAAATACTACTGAAATATGATTAGCTCAGTTACAAGAGCAAATAAATGTCATAATTAATACACTTTACATTGTTAATTCTGTTTACAGTTTAGTATCTTCATCCTGGGTTTTTTTAAAGTTTTTCATTGCAGAAAGCATTCCAACATTCAAAAAACCTACTGCTGATGGTTACTGTTGAATTTTTCTGAGATCTAAAACCCGTTATCTAGGACTCTCCACTGCAGAGCCACTTTCAGGGGATGTACAAGCCATGGTCTCAGGCGAGGTACCAAGAAGTCACGTTGCCCATCACCTAACAACACAGGCAGTATTTTTTTCTCTCCCACCTGAGAGCTCTCATCTTTAGCACAGTTCACTGGTACTTTTCACATGCAGTATTTCATTTAAAAAGTAAACAAAGCCCTTGTTTTGTGCAAATTCTGCAAACTTTTTTGTCAGATTAAGGTGTTACCTCTTCAAATCACAAGTAAAACACTAATTTGAGGGACACACTTTTTTATCTTTTGATTAAAAGTCAGTATTTATTGATATAATGATAGACACGTGATTGACACTTGATCTAGTCAAACAAAAACGGAATTTAACACCACAGTTGGTGCTTTTTAGTTACTCTGGGCTTTC